AGAACTCGAAGCAAAGAAAAAGGCTTTAAGAAATTTGCTTCCTTGAGATGAACATAAACTAAAGTGAGTTATAATGAAACAATCACTTTTGACCAGTGCTCAGATCTTTGAAAAGGCTGGAATTGAGAGAGTCAAGAAATACAAATGGTTAGAATACTTTGTGAATTGGGAACTGAAAAAAAATCTCCTAGGCAACCTCCTCTCACTAAAGCAAAAATTTTAAAGCATCAAAATTGGGCCAAGAAATACATGAAAATTGACTTTTCTAAAGTGATTTTCACAGATGAATCTTGAGTGACATTTGATAGACCTGATAGATGGGTCAAAAGATGGATTTTATCCAATTCAGATGTGTCTGTGGATAAAAGAAAGTAGCAAGGAGGTGGTAGTGTTATGATATACAATTGTATTGGAATTGTAAGTTCTGGTCTTGCAGTTTCAAAGTGAAGTGTGTATGTATGCATGACAATGCTCCTTCTCATGTATCTAAGCTTACCCATGAATTCTTTGAACATAAAAGATTTACAGGAGAGAAGATAAAGGAATGGCCACCATTAAGTCCTGATCTGAATTCTATCGAAAATCTATTGTCAATTGTGAAGATGAAATTATATGAAGGTGGCAAATGATATAACATCAAAGCAGATCTATGGGAAGCAATTAAAACTACCATGTTGGAAATTGAACCTGTTAGAGTAAAAAAATTAATAAAATCAATGGATGATAGATTACTGACTGTTATTGAGAAGTGTCACTATAATAAAATGTAAAGAGTTCAAAGACTTATGCGTTTGTTATTTGTTCTATTATAGGTGTTGATCAATTTTTGATGATTTTATTACCTTTTTATTGAAGTAAAATGTAATTATTTGGTTTTGCTTAATAACTTCAGATTGAAGTTTTTTAGAATACATCAAATAACTTCAATAAAAAATATTGATACTATCTAAAATGTTAACTCAGGCTTTGTTTTGACATCTAAATTGATTGTTTAAAATTTGACAATTTTTCAAACCAAATTTGAATTATTGAAGTTTATATGATTTTCTTAACAACCTCAAACAGGGCCTAGTTTATGTTATAATAAGCATTTGGTTGCAAGAGGAAAGGAATGATGAGGATTAGGTTTCTAAAAAAGTGTATTTGTGACTGAGGCCACAGGATATACACAAGTTAATCAATCAAGGTCACAGTAGGTTGATTCATAGTAAGGTGCATTGATCAAGGTGATGAGTGATTGGCATAACTGGTAGGCCTGTTCTATGAAATGGGGTTGCAGTGATGACTGCAAAGGGAATGTCTGTAGTGAGTCAGATATGTTGAGGTGACAGCAATGGGTTGCTGAGGTGATGAGGCTGGTGTTCCATGAAACAGTGGTAGCCCAAATTGGTTGCATGCTTGCAGAGTCAGAGACCCTGCTTGCAGAATCAGAGTTACTTGTAAAGTCAGAGTCACTTGCTTGTGGAGTTAGAGTCACTTGGTTGCAGAGTCGAATTTACTGCTGGTTGAGACAGAGTTGGTTGTTTGAGGAGTTGGAGTTGCTTGTTTGTGGAGTCATACTGACTGTAGTGAGTCGGGTTTGCTAAGGTGATGGCATTGGAAAAGAAAAAGCTTGGTGATGAAAGGAAAGCTTGTAACTGGGTGGTGTTGATGTTGAGATGTTATCAATTGCAACAATTGGTGTCTTGGACCTGGTGGTGTCGAGGCTGGAAAGTCAGCCACTGTAGTGAGTCGGGCTTGCTGAGGTGATGGTGTTGGTGACAAGAAAGGCTTGTAACTGGGTGGTGTTGACACTGAGATGTTATCAATCACAACAGTTAATGTCTTTGGCCTAATGGTGTTGAGGTTGGACAATCAGCTGCTGTACTGAGTTTGGTTTGCTGAGTTGATGGCATTGCCAATGAGGATGGCTTGTAGCTGGGTGGTGTTGATGTTGAGATGTTATTAATCGCAACAGCATTAAAGTTGGATAGTCAGCCACTGTACTGAGTCGAGTTTGCCGAGGTGACAGTGTTAGGATGGGAAGGCAGGTGATGTTGAAACTGAATAGTCGGCCACTGTAGTGAGTCAGGTTTGCCAAGGTGACAGCGTTGGTGACAATGAAGGCATGTAGCTGGGTGGTAACGATGTTGAGATGATATTCTGGATTCCCTGTGTGGAGAGTCAGGTGTTTAGTCAGGCCTGAGAGTGATAACAGTCATTAAGTGAAGTGGTCATGTTGGTAGCAGCAGCAGCAGCAGCACCCTGCATGTCAACAGGTAGCCTGCAAGACCAGTTGTTATTACGGGAGACCTGCTTTTAAGCAGATCTAGCAGTCCCCAGTGACATCTCCTTTTCAGCAGGAAGGTTCATGATTGGCCAGTATCACTTTCATTGTGGGAGCTTGCTTCAGTAGCCAAATATGATGCTCAGAGATTATGCACAGAGTATGACTTTTTTAATTTTTTTCTCTACCTTCATAGTATTGAATCAGAAAGAGACCTAATTGCAACAGAATATAACAGCTCCAGAAGGTTTGGATGGTGATGATGAGATATTATCAATCATGATGGTTGATGTCTTGGGCCTAACAGTGTTGAGGCTGAATAGTCAGCTACTGTAGTGAGTTTTCCGAGATGATGGTGTTAGCGATGAGGAAGGCTTGTAGCTCGGTGGTGTTGAAGATGGATAGTTGGCCACTGTAGTGAGTCAGGTTTGCTGAGGTGACAACATGTCAGTGGCAGTAGCAGAAGTGCCCTGTGTTGGCAGGTTGCTAGCTGGCTTGCAACTGCTTATGATATGGTCATCCTGGGAGACCTGCTTTTAAGCAGATCTGGCAGTTCCCAGTTCCTATTTGACGGGAATGTTCATGATTGGCCAATGTAGCTTTCATTGCATCCTGTTACCAAAGCAATTTTAAAAACCCCAGCACTCTTTGTTCATGCACATGTGTAGTTGCACCAACATAACAAATTTAGTCTAATGAAGTCCTGAATGCTGAAACATATCACAAAAACCTTTTTCCACTTTGTCATATAATTTCCCCATATATATATATATATATATATATATATATATATATATATATATATATATATATATATATATATATATATATAAAAATGTTGAAATTCTTTATTCAGTTCACTAAGTAGGCATATCTGTACTTATACATGTGTATTCTAAAAACCCTGATTAAAAATATTATTAATTTAGACTTGACTGGATTAAACTGCTCATGTATTTTATTCATTAATTCCCTGTTGAGACATATGTAATGATACAAAAGTTGTGAAAAATTTAATTCCTGCAGTGTAGTTAATGTTGAACTCAGCTACAAAATGTATTTTCAGGCTAAGCTGTCATGATTTACATGGTAACCGCCCAGATGGAAACTGATATCACAGTATAAAACAATTTTTGTATAAAAAACAGCAAACAATTAAAACAAAACTACACTTTATTTTAATCCCTTTGCTGAACAACTTAAACTGCTTAAGTTGAAAAATGAAACAAGAATTTATTAAAAGAATATCGGTTAAAAAAACAACATTTAAAATAACCTCTATAAATCATTCTTCGGACAAAATCAAACTCTCTTATCAGCCAAACACGAAACATTAGAACATAAAAAGGATTTTTTTTAAAAAAAGAAAAAATCAAAAACTATATTTAGACCTTTTAAATTTATTCTTAAAACTTTCAAGATTTCAAGGTCTTAAATTTGGGAATTTTTCAAAGATTTCTTCAGCAGAAATCATCTTGGAAACCAATAAAATTCATTGCAGAATATTAAGGGCTGAATAAAAGTACTTAATAACAATGGTTAAGCAATGTTTTCAAAATCATTACTAGAGGAAATAACATTTATAACTATTAGTTAATGTGTTAGGATCTGTCTATTCAGGTTTTTTTTACTATCTGAGTGTCAGGATTCCAAACATTTAACAACCACAGCATCACATCTTTTAAATGAAACATAAAATGGTTATTTTCTGAAGGAAAATTAGAAGTAGAACATCAGTTGAAATAACATTTATAAATTCTTTTCAGAAATATACAATAACAATAAAATGTTTAATTTTCCTTGCAGTGAAGTTTGTGTTTGCTTTATCAAGTAATTATGTGTTTGTAGTGTGATGTGAGATGTGTGGACAGACTTACTTTATGACAGTCAGACTAATGTCAGACACATGAGTGTGTAGACAAGGGCTGAGTAAGTGGTTGCTGGCTCTCTCGCATGTGTGCATGTGTGTGGGTGCATGTGTACACACATGTAAATCAAACAGGCTTTCAAAATGTTTTGAACCCTGAAAAGCAGTATGCTTCTTTTTTTATATCTGTAAGGGAGATCCAAAATCTAATTTCACATAGAGGTGTGAACCTTTTGAATACATGGTTTTTATTAGTTAGAAAATAATTTCACACTGGTTTGCGAAAATCTTTTTCTTGAATTTGTGGGAGTGGTGAAGGGAGTTATTGTTATTTTCTAAATAGTCTAAAAATACCATCTACATCCGACAAGTATTTTGGCAGTATTTGATCTAGTAATTATTGTTTATCAAACAGACCTTCTGACGGGATTTTATTGGTTGAAAAATGTATATAGGATTTAATGCCTATAAATGAAACTAGCAAACAAAATTGTTTGTTTTATATTCTGCATATAGACAGATATATTGCAGTGATCAAAATAATTGCACTGTAATTATATTTCTGTTCTGTATAATAGTTGGACTTGTATCTGAAAAAATCATAGTGTCTTAAAAACATTATTAATGCAATATTCACTTGCAAAAAAAGAATTATTCTTGCCATTCAAAACCCTCAAACGGTTAATAAGCTGTAAAGGAGGAACTAATCCATCAACAATTTGTAAAATTTCACTGATTTAATATTCATAATGCTAAATAAAATAAATATCATTCCACCTGTAATATGAGATCATTATTTCAAATAATTACAATTTCATTTTTTTTCAATTTTCTTTTAACTCATTTCTTTGATTATTATCCACCTAGATATATTTGTCTTTTTTATCTTTATTTGACTGTTCATATCTATCTATCTATCTATCTATCTATCTATCTATCTATCTATCTATCTATCTATCTATCTATCTATCTATCTCAATCCCATCATATCTATTTACTTCTGTTTCTCTCTATCTATCTATTCACAGCAATCTGTTCATATCTATCTATCTATCTATCTATCTATCTATCTATCTATCTATCTATCTATCTATCTATCTACCCAATAAAAAAAACTATTAGGATGAGAGGTTCTTCCATATTCTCCATACACACCAAGTTTAGCACCTAGAGATGTTCAAATTTTCTCTTTTAAGATTTGTTTTCATTATTAGAACATTTCATAGAGGCCAGAAATTGAAAACATTATTTCAAACATTTTCAAGGAAGAAAAACTTAGATTTTTTTAAATGTGAAATCAAAAATGTGACTTCCTATTGGATGATGATGAAGCCTTTTTTTTTTATAAATAATATTTAGATAAATTTAATTTATATTTGTTTTTATATCATTTCTTGTAAAACTGAGTGAACTAGAAGAATATGACTAAATTATTTAGTCTTGGCGGAAGAGTCTATTTACAGAGAAGTGACAATCTAATACAATTTTAAAAGATTGTCTACTATATCTCTAAATGTCTGTCCATATCAGTTGATTATGACTTTCACTGTTGAATGATTACTGCTTTAAGAAGTGGCTTTCTTCTGGCTGCATTATAATAATAACATGTAATAAAGAATGTGTAGCTGATATAGACACATACTGTTATATATATATATATTTTTTCCCCCCACTAATTGCACCATAGTCCTTTTCTGATAACCCAAGTTTACAAACCTGAAAGGGATACAATGATTTTTTTTTCATTCAGGAATTGACTTGGGATATTGTGTCTGTGAGAAAGAAGTGACAAAGTAGTGAGGAAAACTTCCCCAACAACAGTGTGTATGTGTTTTTCAATGACTGAAAATTTGTGATTTGAGTTGATTTTCCTACTGTTTCTAACATCAATCTAATCCTCTGTTACAAGTTAGTAAGGAAGAGTTTATAATTTCTACAATTAAATGTAAGCAGGCTACTTTTGTTTTAACTCATAATGTGTTTCCTGACATTTTTATTTTATGTCTATATCAATAAAATAAAATGGTATCATTTCTTTCGTCTTTGAAGACAAGCACTTAATTCCAGTTAAATTTCTGCATGGTCAGTGGTAACCAGATCTTTGATCTCAAAGTCTTACACCATTAAAATGTCATTTCTGTTTAAATATGACACAGGGCACATGTTTTGATTAATAGGCAAGATACAAGCTATGCCTGCATTCTAATAAATTCTTTGACATGTCAGTTGGTGCATAAGGTTACTTGTGTCTCAATGTAAAGGGTATGAGTGGGTCATATGACATCTGTGCAAAAAAGAGTTGCTCTAGTTAATGCTTTCATTCAGCCAGGATTTTAAAGATGTTCCTACCCACAAAAAGACTGACTTGACACCCACAATTTTAGATATTTTAACTCTTTGCCTATTCAAATAAATATTTAAAAAATATTAAGACTGCTTAGAACATTTTTAGAAAAAATAACACTTACAATTATTGGGTTGGAAACAAAATTCCCACACAACTTTTATCAACGATATAAAACAATACAATGCAGTAAAACATCAGTATAATCATCATTATTTTCAAATGCCTGCTTCTAATAGCAGGGTAGATCATGAATATCCTTGTAAAATTCAGTTGGCTTGCTATTGAAGAAATCACCAACTGCAGTTTTCAGTTCATCATCAGTGACAAATGTTTTGTCCTTCAAGAAGTTCTACAGTGCCTGGAATAGCTGGTAGTCTGTTGCCACCAGGTCGGGCAAGTATGGTGGGTGAGAGAGAATTTCCCAGTCCAGCTCCAGAAATTTTTCACAGGTGAGCTTTGCAATGTGTGGTTGAGCGTTATAATGAAGGAACATGATATTGGTCAATTCTGGACATTTTTGTGCAATTGCATCAGCCATACATTGCAGTTGTTGACAGTACAGTTGAGTGTTGATAGACTGATTGTGTCTCAACATTTTCCAGTGAATCATGCCCTTCACATCCAAACCAGACACAAACCATGAGCTTCTTTTCATGCTGGTTGAGATTTGCCTGAGGTTGTGCAGTTGCACCCTTATCTGTCTAGCTTCTTTTGCATATCACATTCAAGTACAGACACCATTTTTAATCTGCAGTAACCACTTTGTTCAGCTAATCAAAACAGCACTTCTTGGAGTGGTCAGTTTCTGTGGGATCTATATGACCAATTTGCTGACTTTCCCTATTTCCTCCAAGTGATGCAAAATGGCTATATGGATGACGCCAAACTTCTCAGCCAGATTGTGTGCTCTCAGGTGTGGATCAGCTTTGACATGGGTGCAGAAATGCTCATTGTCAATGTGTGTGGGTCAACCATTTCTTGGCTGACCCTGGTCATGCTGGAACTTCTTGAACCAATCATATGCCATGCAACAACCAATTGTGTCTTCTCCAAATACTTGGTTGATACAACATTGCAATTGGCCAACATTTAGACTGGATATGTAATCATGCATTAACAATGTATTTCACTGTTCACGAGAGAGAGTCATTTGCTGGGTCATTTCTGGAACTTACAAGAAACTCTGAAATGATGAAAATAATCAAAATATATCAATCAAAAGATATTGCATTTACTTATATATAAATAAAAATATAAATCAACAAATAAATAAACACTTATATAAAAAATTGTAAGTAACTTTGTTTCCAACCCAGTATATATATTTATCTCTATATATAATTGGGAAGAATTTGTTTTTCTTTTTGCTATCCATGGCCAAACCTTTTCATGTGCAGCCTTCAAATTTTATAAGTATACTTATTGTGCACAGGGTAAAGTTTGAATGTAAAAAATTGATTAATATAGGGGATAAGGTTACCCTACCACTTTTGTTATGTGGAAATATCTTTTGTAGCAACAATTACAAAAAAAAAAGAGAATGAGGACAAAAATAAACATACTATAACTGATGATGAACTGAATGAACAAATAAAAAGAATGTTTGACAGTGATGATGACAAAGAAGAATTTTGGGGTTTCAGTCCTGATGAAGTTTAATAACTATATCTAAATGAATAAACACTTTTCTTATGTTTTAATATATGTAATCAAAGTTTTGAAATAAAGGTGAATATGTGAAAATATTTAACAAATATTAGTTATATTTACATTTGAAAAGGGCCATGTAACTCCACAGATTATTGTCAACATATTTGTGAGTCAATCTCAAATACCCACTTTAACAACCTCAAAGTAAGGGTGTGACCTATCTACTGGTGTGACCTATTCACAAGTATATACAGTAAGTTCTGTGTGTGATATCATATATGCTAATTAAGTATGAGTAGTTGAATCCTGGGAGTGTATTTATTTGTATGTCCTATTATTTAAGGATACTTGGGGCACATCACTTCCTCAGCATGTTGATCACTTAAGTACCCAGCACATCCACATGTCTGTACAGTCAGTTTATTGGGCTGTTATATACTACAATGGAATTTTCCTATTTGAATTTCTAATAAGAGTATATGTAAATCTCACAAATTATCTGAGAATTTACCTTAACATATTGTCATGGGTCCTTACCTATAACTACAGAATGAAGTCTCCCTAACACTATGTATACTACACCTCTCAAGAGAGAGGGTTGAATCAAGTCAAGCCAATAGTAGTTCATTCCAAACCAGACTGACAGTTATACTAACACCTTCCACATCTTGTATTATTATTTCAGGTAATATACCTTTGTTATTTCTACTCTTGTGTTCATGTTGTTCTTCCTTGGTCCTAACCTGGACCATAACACATACCTCATCTTTATTTAATGATATAAACAGTTAATATTTTATGATGCAAATTTAAAATTTAGTTACTATTCATGACACAAATCTTGTAACCTATTAAAGTGTTACATTCCATGTTGCCAATAGCTTCAGCTCTTCAGACCCCAATACTACTTCATAGGCTGTATCAATGAAAGACAGTTTTGTTTTCTTATTTGTTATTGATACGAGAGGGACTGACATGGTAGTATTGATTCTAGGAAATAGTAGGAGGAAGAACTTCAGGAGAACACATGCCCACTCGTTGGCTTAGCATTCTGCTATATGCAGTCTAGCCTCTCTAAAGAATCTATATGCAGAAAGTGTGTCAATGCTTCAAAATTCTTGTAACCCTCTGTCAATTTTGTGACATTTTGGTCTTATATCCAAAAGTTAGACAAAGGTGATCCATCACCATCAGAATTCCATGCCCACAAGGTGTTCCACCCAATGTGAAAGAGGTTAAAAAGTGGAGAACAAGTCTTCCCCAACAAGAGCATATAAATAATTTTGAACTCTATTAAAGCTGGAAAGTGATGATTAAGGAGCTCCAGTTCAGATATGGAACATACTTTGCCATGGTATTCTCAGCATCCTTCTGTGGAACCATATTTCTGTTGCCTCAAGTCTCTTTTTCATCTGTGAGGACATTGTCCAGCATTCACTACCAAGCACAAGAGGATTGATAGCAGATGAGCACTCTTATCTTTGTCTCAAACAAAATTTTCCTGTTTCTTAATACTTTGTTTGGCTTTTGAAAGGCATTTTTCAGTAATCCAATATGCCTTTGGATTTCAGTGTCACATTTTCCTTCATCTGTTAAAACACTTCCTAGATATTTAAGTTTCTGTACTTGCTTAATTTTGGCATTTCCAATTCATAGGTTGTATCTTAAATAATTCAAGTATATTTTATCACCACCAAGCAGACCCTAAATTTACTCAAGTTTTGATTAGCAGTTATACTTTTAATGAGACTCCAAACATCTTTTGAAATGCAAACATCTATTGGGACTAAAATATTTATAAAATATAAAAGCCCACTCAAAACCTCAAGTGGAACTCATATATTTACACTATTGTTAAAGATACTGGAAGAATGATCAGTTTGTTGTTCCATTCCAGAAAGTGCCTAAAATTATCATGCTCTATCTTTAAGAGAGTGAAATAAATGGAGTATAGCTGCCATATCTGGACTGGTGCTGTTCCTCAGTATTTGGCCTTATGGGTAATGAATTATTTTCAACCTTGCAACTCCTTTCCAGAGAGACTAAATATAGCTAGCCTCCTTCTATCCTATTGCTATTTCTATGACAAATGTTCAGACAAGCTACATTCCTTAGTTTCACCAGTTCAGACTACCACAGCTAGGAATTGTCATGCCACATATACAATGTCAAATCATCCTCATTCCTTTCATATTCTTTTGGTAAGGAGAAAGTTCCACTCAGCCAGCTTCTTTCCCAGAACTGTCACTTGGTAGAACAGACTCCTGAGAGGATGCCTCCTCAGCCACTAAAATCTTTACCTCTTCATCTAGAGTCAACTATTATCTATTCCACATATCCCCATAGTATGTACTTCTTCTACCTCCATTTATGCCCTTACAATCTCATTCAATAACTCTCTACCTTAAGTGGCTCTTGGACTTTGTATTGGAGGAAAAATAATATAAAAAATATTAAAACTGTTGTAACCTAAGGAAAGTTACTGAATAGAATAATCAAACAAAGGTTGGTAATAATCCTTAGAACAAGAACAACACATATAAATTTCGGCAGCGCCATATAGAAGAAGTAGTCGACTGCTAGAAATGAGTCAAGTGAATTCCACAATGAATCTTCAACTCTAGGATATCTACCAACTGCCCCACATGGTCAGATGGGGCACAGGGCCAAATTTAATGTGGGGTATCTAAGCCCATAGGCTCAGCAAAAAAAATCCCTTTAGACCCCATAAAATGAAGTCGGGTGGCAGTTTCCCGAGACAAGACTCTGCCCTTCAGCATACCTTTGTCTGGGGATCCTCTCTACCCAGAGGCAGAGAGTTTGACCAGCACAGCTTGAGGTGAATCTCCAAATCTAGACTATGTACAGTATTCACTACTGTATTTATGGGAATGTTGGTATACCCATTATTGTCTGTAAGTATGCTACAACAAAAACATTCTAATTTTTTTGCCAGTTTTGTGTTAACTTTCTATTTCAGTTTCCAGACCAGTTTTCTATTATCATTAACTATTCATTCATGCCACTTGCTAAATTTTATAAGAATAGTTATTGATTAAGTAGTGGTTGTTTTGTTCCAGGAAATGCCTGGTTTTGTTATGGCAAACAAAGCTACACAGTTGTGTTTGAAGTGAAGTGCAAAGAAGGAATAATGTATGAGTTGCCGATCAAGGTAAGCATGCAAAGAAAATTCAATGCATTTTAATGTAGTATTTTTTGCCAGGATACAACTTAAGCATAGGAACAATGGATGACTGACATTTAGGTACAAAAGTTGATTTGTCTGATCAGACCAAATTTATTTAAAGACAATAGAAGTTGTTTACCAAACACCTATGCACTACCCCATATCTCACCTAAGCTGAACTGACATCCGAGTTACTATGAAAACTTTTCTTTTTTAACTCTTTAGAAAGATTCTGTCTAAAGTATTTTTCATAATAATCCAGCTCAAAGATATAATTTTATTCTTTTTTTTTGTTTCATTCTAAGCAAGGTAATAATGCTACTAGAACACAGCAGGTTACAGGGAGTGAAAGTGAAATAGAATGAAAAGATTGAAAATGGGGCAGATTGATTAAAGGAGAAAAAAAGGACATTGTTCAAAATGGCAATTGATGTTGCATTTAAATTTCTGAAGATTGTAGTTATCATGGAAGCAAGAAATCAGAAGGGAGTTCCACAGGCAGGAAGTGCAAATAAAAAAACTGTTAGAATAGAAGTGGCAATTGCATCTAGCTCATTCAACAGTAAAACGGTGAGACCTATTTGCCAATCTAGTAGCACATTTAAATTTTTGTAGTTGGAGCACCAGAAGAAAAAAAATCATCTTAGCAGTTACCATGAAAATATTTGTAAAACAGGATAGCCATGTCACATCAGTGAGAAAATGACTGGAGATGAGATGCCTGGTCAGGATCGATTGTATTGCTGAACTTTCTCTGGATTTTGTCAAGAATCCTGAAATGCACAGTAAGGACACCAGACCAAATATAGCAACAGTATTCAATACATGTACGAATAGTAGATTTATAAATATGTAAGATTGATTCTAACAAGAAAAATGTTTTGGCATAACACAGTGAACCAACCTTCCTTGCAGCAGACGCAGAAATTGATGCGATATAGTTGCCCTACTTCATGTTAGAAAAAATGAGGCCAAGAAGGTGTAGCATGTTGCTCTCATGGAGTTCAGCATCCACCATCCTGATGGTAAGCAGAAAAGGTTCTCTGTGATTATTAAATAAAAGCAGTTTTGTTTTGAAGGCATTGAAATTTACAAGCAATTTTTTCCCCCAGTTAACCACTGATTAGAGGTCCTTTCAAGAAAAGTTGGCAGGTTTACTTTGTCTGATCTGTTGGATTTGCTAAGACAGGAGTAAATGTTCATGTCATCTGTATAAATATTTTGTCAGGCCATCAGAATTTTTGCCTAAAAGTGCTCAATAGATAACTAGAGTAACAATATTCAATGAATCAATAAATGTTTAATAATCTTACCTCATTTTCAGAGTTATCACAACAGAATGTCCCATTATTAAAGATTTTCTACATGAGTAATATTGGTCTTAAGATTGCTTCAGATGTGAAACTGACAGTCACTATGCAGTGTTGATTCCTATGCCTAGATTCCCTGTATCTCTTATTTCTTTTATAGGTTTTTTTGGTTTTGTTTGAATTTTGTTTAAACTATTTTATTTTTCCTGACAGTTTGACACCCGGGTCTTGTGTGCTCAAGCCATAAGCAGTAAAATATTTTTGTTTGGAACATTATCCAGTGTACTCTATGCTTATGACATAGAATCAAGGTAAGTATTATCAACTTGTGTATCTTACATATATATTAGATCAGAATTTGAATATCATATTGAATCATGTACAATACATTCTCATGTATAATGTGTTTCTGCTATATTCATAAGTAAAAATAAATGAATTTGTTTTATTTCTATGTTTAATGTGATCCTTACTTTATAATGAATGGAATGGGTGAAATAATCTATTTCCCTTTGGTGCAATGTATTTTATGATCAGAATAAAGTAAAGAGAAGATTTGGTTAATTATGTATTTAAAATTATAAACAAGACAAAAGCAGAAATAAGAACATTATAAAAATTACATAACACCAGTTGACAATAAAAAAAAAATTAGATTAATTATTTATTACAAAAAATCTAAAACCTCTAACCTAAAATTAAATAGAGCAAATATTATATATGAATTTAAATCCCCATTAAGGAATTGTATTCCTGATCAATCAAAATTTGTAAATAATTATATAGGCCACACTACAACATGTTTGAAATGCAGACTCACTCTACACCTTTCTGACCATAGCTCAATTAGATCTCATTTAAATATTCATGGAGACCTACTGGACACTATTCATAACATACTTATTGACAACACTAATATAATAGCATTATCTACATACAAAAAAAGGCTAAAAATAATGGAAGCCTTATTAATAAAAACAAAAAACCAACACTTAATACTAACTATGAAAATGGACACAATATCTTGACCGTGTTTTGAAAAATGAAAGCATTTTATAAACCATACATGCAACAAACTATTTCTTATTTAACAGTTAAAATATTTAATCCTTGAAAATGGCTAAATGTATAACTGAAAGTGCTCAGATAAAAAGAACATTTGGACAGTTTTTATATAATTTATCATCTGAAAAGAAAAGAATTATTAGATCGCATGAGAAATTGTATAAAAACTAAATAAATGCACCTTGTCTGTCATATTCAATGAAATGTGCATGAAAGAAGGATTGCTACCTAAATACACACAACACACACACACACACACATATATATATATATATATATATATATATATATATATAAAAAAAGGCTTAAACAGTAATATTCCATGGAATATTAGTGTTTAAACCTTTTATTATATCCTTACTCTGTCCTGATATTGAGTTCTACCTGGATTCTATCCTCTTGGAATTTTTATTCAAAAAAATATACATGTATGTGTATGCACCTATGTATATATATTTATATATTTTGCATATGTATGTGTATATTTACCACTAATATTAGCTATATATATATATATATATATATATATATATATATATATATATAATTGAATGACATAGAAATATATCTTTTGAGAAGTTCTTTGTTTAATTATTGTTGTTTTCCTACAAGTTTTCTTTAGTAATAGTTCAAGATTATTAATGTTGTGATGCAGTCAACCATAGTTTTCTCCCCTTCAAACTACTCGACCATAAAAGAAATGGTTGAACTTCGCTTATGTGCAATGAATAAAACTTCATTACAAACTTTTTATTTTACAGATGTATTTGCAGATATTATTTCTCCAAGTACTTTCAACCATTTTGGCCATCTTAAGGGAGTAAAGTAGTTTTCAATAGGAGTAGGAGATTTTGATAGTCAAAAAATAAATTAAATACTTTTCAAGAATAATATTTCAGTGGCCTTCAATCAAATATGTGAAAAAGTAATTTATTACCAAGATACATACTTTGTTTTTAATCAATTCACCTCAAGCAAGGTGATAATGCTACTAAGATGCAAAGGACTACTGGGATTGAAAGAGAATGAGAAGACTTTAAAATGAACTGGAAACCCAATCCTAAGCAGAAATCAAAGGATAAACCTCTAATCCAGGGAGGAGTGTGAACTGGATGATAGGTGAACCTATCAACTTCTATCAAGAAACTAAGGCTACATGGGCTGAAAAGTTTAACAACTGTACCAAGAACTCTCTACATATACATACACATTCACATAAACACATTATATATATCCTAGCTGTTTACTCACCAGGTGAACATGACCATTGCTGAAAAAAGCATTGACCTAATGCTGAATGTGGTGTCAACCATGGGATTGACAGTCGCTCTTGATGTCAGTAATGGACTTACATGCTGCATACACAACATATTAGTTCTGTCTGATTCCTTTGATGACCCAGCTGTACAGGTGGCTGGTTTTTGTGTGCCTTCAAATGTCTTTTAAGACCCGAGTGGCATCAACATGGCTTTGCAGATGGATACAAAAGCTGCATTTGATAGGCATATATATATATATATATATATATATATATGATTATTTCACTCCAAGCAAAGCATGAATGTTACAAGTAAACAGTGGGTGGGAGGAGAAGGTTACAGGGAGTGAAAGTGAGAGAAAAGACTGAGTATAGTGAGGATTGAGGAAAGGACAAAAGATGAATGGGATTCAAGAAGATAGAATATGGTGACATTGCATTTAAATGTTTGAAGATTGTAATTATCAGGGAAGCAAATAAATGAAAGGGAATTACACAGGTGGGAAGAAACTGTTGGAGTAGAATTGGTGGTTGCATTTAGCTATTTCAATATTAAATGGGTGAGACCTAGGCACCAATCTAGTATTATGCTTAAATTCATGTTGTTGGGGCACCAGGGTAAAATGCTCATCAGAGCAGTTGCCATGAAAATATTTATAGAAAAGACAGAGAGAAGCCATGTCACTTTGGTAAGAAAGTGATTGAAGTCAAGAATCCAAGTTAGGATTGATTACATTACAGATCCTTCTTTGCATTTTGTCAAGAACCTTGAGATGAATAGCAGAAGCACTAAACCAGATATGACATGACAGCAGTATTCAATGCATGGGTAAATGATAGATATATAAATGTACAAGACACATTGACCTAACTTTCCCCACAGTAGATGCAGCTATTGATTCAATGTAGTCACTCCACTTTAAGTCAGTTGAAAACATGAAGCCAAGAAGGCACAGTATGTACATTATGATACACAAGTTTGTTAATGTATTTATCTCCATTCATTTTTCTTATATATGTATACAGTTATTGACCACTTAATTAAAGATATATGAACAAATGCACTTTTATATAAATTTCTAATCAACCACCAATTTAATAGATATAGGTATTTAGACATGTTCATGGTGACCTGCGGAATTTTATTCCATGCATTATTATGGAAAAAAAGTAATTTAAGTATATGGTCATTGCTGTCAGATATGCAGGTTTGAGTATTTCAGAGTGTATTTATTTACTAGAAAGTCAAAAGTAACTCAAATGAATATTCTTTACAAAAGAGCATCTCTGAATGCACAACACATCAGACCTTGAAGCAGATGGATTACAGTAGCAGAAGACCACATTGTGTGTTACTCCTGTTAGATAACAACAAGAAACTTTGTCTACAATTCACTAAAGATCACTACTGAAGACTGAAAAATCAGTTTTGGGTTTGATGAGTCTCAATCTATGCTGTAACATTCAGATAATAGGATCAGAACTTGGCATAAACAACATAAAAGTATAATTCTATCCTACTATGTATCAATGCTTCAGGTTGCTGGCAGTGGTTTAATGGTATGGGAATATTTTTTGCCACACATTGGGACCCTTGGTACCAATAAAAGATTGTTTAAATGTCACAGTCTACCTACATAACAATTTATGACTACAGTATGACTACATCCTCTAGCAGTCACTTCCAGCAGGATAACGCATTATGTTAAAAACAAAATATAGAGACAGACTGGTTTTTGGAACACAGCAATGAGTTGTCTGTGTTAAAGTTGCCTCCACAGACACCAGATCTCACTCCCATAAAACACCTTTGGGATGTGGTGGGAAGGGAGATTCAAATCCTGGATGTGCAACCAACTATTCTGGAAGAATTTTGAAAGAGTGTTTCTAGCACATCCTTAAGCCATGCCAAGAATATTCAGTTCTAAAGGCAGAGGAGGGTCCATCTACAAGAGTATGCCTAATAAAGTGACTGGTGTGCATGTGTGAATATATATAAAAAATACTGAAAAAATATATATATATCTTAATTCATAAGGTGAAATGATCATAACCATGTGTTAATTTTAAATTCCTATTGTATGTAATTTATATATATATATATATATATATATATATTGCTCCATGCTCCATATTGCTGACACACCAGGCTTGGTGCTTCTGCTATATATTTAGAGATTCTTGATAAAATACAAAGAAGAATCTGCAATGTCATCTGGCATTTTGGCTTCAGTCCCTTTCTCACTCCCATAACGTAGCTTCCCTGTGCCTTTTCTATAAATATTTTCATGGTAATTGTTCTGATGAACTATCCTCTATGGCAATGTGTTGTTTTGGTGTAAGGAATATTGTTTCGTACGTTTGGGTCAGTGCTTGCGGCTAGCTAAGTTATAGTTAAGACAGAAGAAGACCATCCTTTCCCCAATCCCCTTTTCGACCTTGTGCCACATTTCTGTATTGTACAGAATAAATATCACTATCCTCTATGGCACCTAGACTTTATGAATTTAAGCACAGTACTAGATTGGCAGCAAGGTCCCATCGTTTTACACTTGAAATGGCTAAATGTAACCACAAGTTCTACGCTTTCAGTTTCTTCTTGTGCACGTCTCACTTGTACATTTCTCTTCTGGCTTCTTTCTTCCTGGTCAACTTTGATCTTTCAAAATTTAAATGCAATGTCAATCATTATCTTCTGTTTTATTAATTTCTGATTTTTTTTTTTTATTGTTCTCTATCTTTAATAGTGTTTTTTACCTCATATTCTCTCACACTTGCATTTTAGTTTTATTTCCTTGCTTGGGGTGAAGTGATTCAAAATAAAATTGCTTATATATATAATTAGCCTCTAAGCTTGTTTGTGTCTGTGTCAATAAATGTAAACTTTCACTTATAGTGAGTATAAATAAGTTAACAGGAAGGCTTCTCATAAATAATAATGATCACAATTAATATCTTACCATAATGAATTAAATTACATTTTATGAA